AAAGGCCCCGACAAGGCCCGGGACAGCATTCGCGACGTGGGCTTCAGCTCGAAGCCCATAATCAGTCCACCTGCGAAGTTGATCAAGCCGTGCAGCGAGGCCACATCAGATCTCGTCACAGCTCCCCCCTGGGCAATTGTTTGGAGGAGCTCTGCAATCTTTTCAAGACGTCCCGCTTTGTTCTCGACCTTGAGAGTGCCTCCCCATATCTCGTCAAGGCCCAAAGAAACACCCAAGGAGACCACCTTGTTGTCAAACGGCACAAACTTCCGCCCAGACTTCGCGTAGGTCCACCCTAGCAGGTCCAGCAGCCTCATCAGGACCTTGTCCAGCAGGAATGCAGCTGGGCGAAATTCATATACAGTGTAGTCGTCGTAAAAGTCGGTCGCGATTGCAGCGAACTTGACAACCATGATGTGAAGAATCGCAAGTGCTACTTTGTTGAACCCGTACACGCTTGCAGCAGCTCCAAAAGGCAGGCTCTGGGCTATGTAAAATTCCCACTTGCCTTGCGGGTCGGGGAAGCCAAGAACAGCGTGCTCCCTCGTGGAAGGATGGATGCTCACCTGGCGATAGGCTTTACTCAAGTCCAACGTCTTGCCGAGCAGAGCGGGCTGGCGGAGCATCTCGGGATCCCAGTTCCCCTCGAGCACGGTGCCATCGGACAAGGGGACCCGGACCTTGGAGCGATCCTGCAGCACACGGGAAAGGAACCTCAGGAGGCCGACCGCGTAATCCGTATCCTGAAGCTCTAGGAAAGACGAGGAACCAAAGGCCCTGTTAACCGCCGACATTTTAAAGTCGTCAATTATCCTTATCTTGGCGTCTTCGCCCTGCCTCAACAGGAAACGAGGCGAGAGCGACCATGCATCGGTCTTCAAGATGTCGCTGACTTCCTGCTCCGAGTGGTATGGACCCGTGAGGAAACCCGCTGCCAGTTCCTCGGAAGTCTCATCTTTCATCGCCTTGTAATCCTGTTCGGAAACAAGTCCTTTCATCTTCTGCAATGCGCGCCGCCGCAGTGGGGCCTGGGCTTTAAGCTGATCTGGCCCAAGGTCCATGGGCTTCGGCCGCTTTGCAAACAAAGGGGACTCGGCTTCCTGACCAACTAAGGGCACACCGTCGGTAAGAAGGTCAACCACTGACATGTCGGGAAAGCCTGTTTCCTCAAGAAGCTCGCGAAACAAAGCTAGGGCCTTGCCCTTAGTGACTCGCTCCACATCCGGATGCATTTTGGCTCGAAGCTCTTTCTCAGTGGCAGACAGCACCGCCATCCGGTCATTCAATTTTTTCAGTTCAAGCATCCGCCGCTTTGACACAGCCACTGGGCCTTCCGTGAGTATGGCAAAAATGTTGCGGCGAACAGCATCGGGCAAACGAGCACTGTTGTCAGCTGGGCAGGTTAGCCCACATGCGCGATGCAGGTGCTCCTCCATGGAAAAATACACACCTGCCAGATCTCCGGCTCTACCATCTCTTTGTGTCCGGACCCTCTTAGAAGGATTGGGCTCATCATTATCCCCCGGCTCATCATTGTCCCCCGCACTAGAGCCGCAGCCTTTGGACTTTGGAGAGTATTTTGTAATCAGCTCCACTCGGTACTTGGGACAGAGGAACCCTAACCCGAAACTCAGGGATTAAGGGAGGCATGTAGGTGGGTTGGTTGGCCACTGCCGCTCGCACCTGAGCTCGAAGCCGGCGGCTATGCAGGAAGTCGACTCTCTGGACCTGGAGACCTCGGCAGACCGCTGTGGCGGAGCGACACAGGGTCCGGCACAGCTCAGCAGGCAGCGAGGCATCACTGAAACCCGTTCCTGCAGAAGGGGGAATCCAAGGCATGTGTTTATGGGACTTATCACAGGGACGGCCAAGGTTTGGGAAAGATGAAGAGTCAGCTCGGATGCGCAGCGATGTCAAGAATGGGGCACCGAACATGCAAGTATCAAGCTCCTGATCGGCCAAAGCGAAGAACCATTGCAGAAAGTCCTGATGCTGCCTCTGCTTGACAAAGTGGGCTAAGAGGCTCCAAACCCAACTCCGGGCCGGCCCGATCAAGCTGACCAGGGCCCGAGTCTCATAAGCTCGGAACAGCAGGTCGACCACGGCTTGCAGTAAACTGTTTTCATGCTGCACCAGCGGACCAGCGAATCGGCGCGGGCAGGGAGGCCGGCGCGCCCTAGCAGGTGAGAGGCGTCACGAAGGCTCGCACGTCCTCGAGAATCACGCCCCTGATTGCAAGATTTCATGAACAGATTGAAATGCCACCAGTCGACAAGTGTGTGGCGATCAAAGTCAAGCAATGTTTGCAGATCATCTTTCGCGGAGAGGTCAATCGGCACTCGGGGACAGCACTCGGGGGCACCACGTTTGTGGCCCAATGGCAAGGCATCCCAACCAGCCTGCAGGGCGGCGGCCGATAAAGATCCCGAGACAGCAAGGCAATCGGCCAGCATGGGAGGACGAAGGACCGAAGAGGGGCCCTGACTCGACAGGGGGTTGCAGCCCTCAACGGTCCCACACGAGGCGGAAGCGGCACTTCGCTGATCTGCACGGGGATCCGGACAAGGCGCTGATTTGGGATCGCCGGGATCCGATGAAACCTGGTCGGACTCCGAAGACCCGGACGAGGGAGATGATTTTTGCTCGGAGGCAGGCGGAGCTGGCTCTTTCAGGGGGAGAATCCGACGCATCTGATCAGTCACTGGAAGCTGTAGTGACGAGCAGACCTCAGTTGAAGCCAACTGCGAAGCATTGGGCAACGGGAAGCCCAAATCAAGCAAGACATGTTTGTCGGCTCCGGAGATTCGCTCTCCGGCCTGCAAAGCAAAAAGCACCAAAACAACTCGGCGCCCGGTGGCTGGCAGAGTGCAATGCTCATACCCTCGCGCACAAAATTTAATGGGCCCGCGAGACACTTCCAAGTCCACAGTCTGGCCTGGCTCGCTTACCCTGACAGCTCCCCCTTGGAAAACGGTCAAAGGAATGACATAATTCGGAGAAAAGGAATTCTGACTGTCTCGGTGTGGCCGAGTGCGTACCTGATCAAAAATGGCAAAACTGGTGTAAACGGCACCATCAAGCAAAGAGGCTACAAACCTGTTCACCACGCGCACCGTTTGTGGAAAAAGCCTACAAGATTTGCGAAGGCTCACCTTAACTCGAGAGTACATCCCTGCCGAAAAGGAGCGCCCTTGGGCGTCTCGGTCGCACTGCTCATGCGGCAAGGCATCAAAAAGCCTCATCACTTGCTCAGCGGTAACAGGTGTGCTCTGAGCTAAGATTTGCCTGGCGAAAGCCTCGGGCGAGGGCGAGGCTAGTCAATGCTTGCACTCACTGTAGGGCCTTTCGGCCCCGCACCCCCTGAAGTTGCACACATGCTTTCCGAAGCGGCACGACTTGCGTTTCTGGAAGCGACAGATCCCCTGGTTGTAAAATGGGCAGATGAAACGGCCATCATCGTTGGCCCGCACGCAGCCCTCGGGTAACGACTCCAGCAGCTCCTTCAGGGACGGTTGCGAGGATGCATCAGCCTGGCCTTGGCTGTGATTCTGCTTCCCTTTGCCGCGGCCTTTGCCCTTGGTACCCTTCTCTCCCTTCTGATTGCCCTTGTCGGGTCCCTTATTCGGCTTCCACGGTTGGGCCTGGTTCTCGGCAGGCTTAGGAAGGTGTGTCAGGCAGGATACCACAAACTGATTGGTTGCAGCAGCGGCTATGTGCTTATCAAGAGGAGCCGGGGCTCCGACTCCGACGACGATGTCACCTCGGCTCTCCTGGGCCACCACCTGCCAAAGCTTCTGGTCAGCTGCGAGCAGCTGCTGAACAGTAGTGTAGCGATAACCCGCCGGAGGCACATCAAGCAGAGCCTGGAACATGCGGTTGTGCCAAGACTCCATTGCAGTGAAGGAGGCGAGCCCTACTTGATCGAACGCTAAGGCCCGGCGCAGGAAGCACCGGCGAAGCTTGAGCTCGCCGGTAGTCTCGCACCGGAGACTCGAGGCTTGCTTCGTGATCTTGATGTTCCCGTCGGCCCCCAAAGAGAGCTTTTGCTCCGTCTTCTCACCCAGGATCTCGTCATGGCGGGAAATGCACTTTTCCGGCGCGATGTGCAGCACTTGTGCAGAATCGAGCATGGCCTGGACGCGGTCCACAAGGCCGTGTCCAGGTTCTGTGTGGATATCCATCTCGAGGCCTTTAAGCTCGCCCCTTTGGCGTTTCAAGCGTGTTAGGCGTTCTGCCAACGGAAGCTCGCGGGGGCTCGTATCACTTGTTCTTGAAGCCCTCGATTCCAAGTCAACCAGGGCGTGGGCGTGGCTCTCGTACCACAATCGCCTGATCACCATGTGTTGTTCCACTGGAACCTCACTCCCAATCAGAGTCTTCAGGGCTTCGAAGAGAGGAGTGTCATCCCCGCTGGAAGGTTTGCTCGAGCACACGAAAGCTAGCTTGCCGAAGGTGTCCAAGCTCTTAGCAAGGAGCTTGTTCAGAAGATCCTCGCTGATGCCGATCTGCTTTGCTCGGTCGGTGAAGGCGGGCACCGATTCAAGTCCGGCCATGAGACCTGGGCAGGTGAGGATACAGGTTTCGAGGTCTCACCCACGGCGAAGTCAACCGTGGGTCGCGTTTGTCTCGGATTCACACTTCTTCGCCACCGATCACAGGCGGCCTTCGGGAACCGGCGATCCCAGCCGGTCGCGTTCCAATAGTATTTTTCATGACTCAGGCCGGCAAAGGCAGCCGACCACGGGGGTTCTTGCAATCTCAAAGCCCCCAATCAAACTCCCGCTAAGTTCAAGCCTGGGTGCTCACCAGGCCGCGCGGGAGACTCGCCCCAGTTTGGCAACTCCCAGCCAAAAGACTGCGGACACTTCTCAGTCCGGTTTTGTGCTCCGAAACAAGAAACACTCCAACTGATCTCAATCGGCCCGAGCACCTTCATCTCAAATGGCATAGGCACGACGTCGCAAAACGGCAAACGATCAACTGAGCACATCCTCTTTTCTTCAAGCTGCGCACTGCTGGCAGACATTCTCCTGAGCCTCCTCAGGCCCCATCAAACGCATGTTCGCCGTGACCTTCCTGCCGCACTTAAAAATTCCGGGGTTGACCAACTTATGCACCACTCCACTCAAGACGTGCATGTAGGTCTCTCCCGAGAACGTGCAGCTAAGCCGAGGACGGACCTCCTCCGGGGCCGGTGCCCCCAGGTCCACTTCGAGACCGTCGAGGTTTGTTATGTCAGACCCAGCCTCGGAGTTGTTCTCATCTTGAGGCTCTTCGGCCGGCAAATCCTCAGCCGTCGTCTCAGGAAGATGTGCAAAATCTGCTGGATCGCCATGCAGAGCTCTTGCGACCCTCTCGGCTCGCGGGAGGTCGGGACTAAGCACTCCCCTGCTCACAGCACTCACGACCTTGGCTACCTTCACTATGATTTCTGCAAGCGCATCTCTCGAGTACAGGAGAGCCATGCCGTGCTTTGGACTGCAATGATGCCCCTGGGTAAGGCGCTCCTCGTAGGTCATGGTCCCGCTCTTGGCCGTCCAGGACAAGGCGGTTGCTTTCAGGCTGTGCGAGCTGTACTGTTCAAGATCCCCCGCGAAACCCTGCAAGTGCAAAAACTCACGAAGCCACAAGGAACCCTCCGCAGCCGTCATGGCCCTTCCTAGAAAGTTCCCTCCCGGCGACATGGCCGGCATGATTACGGCACAGTCTGGTAGCCCTGCCAGGGCCCTCTTGCGCATCCAGACACGTCCCCATGAGGGCTGAGTTAAGCCACTGCCCAGTGCAATCAAAGGCAGCACGGTATCCTTTCGGTCCTTGGCCTTCGTCTTGTAATGTTTTGTCGAACACTCAAGAAGGACAAGCCCGTTACCTGCCACGTCAATGCTCAAGTGAGTCCCTCGAGCCGCATCCGACCATCGAGCCGAGGAGTAGAGGCAGAAAAGGATGAACCCTGCTATGCTGGCCCTGGCATAATCCTCGGACTCGTGAACCAATTCTTCCAGGAGCCGCACTGCCTCCACCGGAAGGGGAGGTGCTTGCCAGAGCGGCCGTTTGGCCAGGGACATCGCCTTGGCTGCTCCCTGCACACGAGGGGAAATCCTGGAGCCTGTCTTTGGCAAACCTTGAGAAATCTGAGGCACGCTTCAGAAGGGTGCTGGCGGCTCTGCCTGAAAAAGTGTCCTCGATGGTCGAGGTCAGCATGGATTCCTCCACCAGGGAGCCTGCAGAACCCACGAGGTTCCTTCCAAGCTCCGAGTCATCCGGGAAGAAAAGCACGATGAGCCGAATTTTCTTTAGTGCGGTAAGCCTAAGCATGTCATCGCTTTTGGCAAACCTTGCTGCGAGAAGTCGCCTGGCCTCGTAAGTTCCTTTGGGCACCCATGCCCACGGCCCTGCTGCAGGGGCGGGGATCGCCGCCCTCCTAAGACCGTCGAAGCGACCTAGCAACGGCTCCTGGAACATGAAGCCGGGCCCCAAGCGGGGCCTCGTCACTCTTTCCCACGGCATCGCCTGACGGGAATGCCTTGCAAGAATGAAACCTGAGTTCATGGCATGCCAATCACCTGCGCTGCCGCCGAAGGCAATGAAGCCTGCAAGCTGCTGTTCCAATCGGTCTGCAGTCGGGTCGTCGTCAGGGGGAAGTTGTGTGTCCTCGCGAGACATCAGGCCCCCCAGTTGCTCCTCAGTAAGATCATCGCCCTCGGCGGGGTTGCTCATGGAGGCCGCTAAGGGACTCTGATCAGGTGTGCCCTCAAACACAGCCGAATTCGGAGATATTGGGCTGGCAGGTATGGCAGACAGAGGGACCTGCTGACCTGATTCAACAGACTGCGAGACGGCCCCCTCATCCGGATAAAAAGCTTCAGCACTCATCCCCCGCAAAAGAAGCTTAAGACTCGGAGCGAAACACCTGATGCAATCGCTGCACAAGCCTTTCCAACCACCCCAGGCGGAGGGAATGCTGGTACCTTTCAGCTTCCAGGCCCCGGAGCTCGCGCTGGATGTCGCTGAGCTCTGCGCGTACAGCACGCAACTGCTGTTCAAGAGAAGCAACTTGCAGCGAAAGGTCGTACAAAGGTTGCGAAATGGCTTCTTGAGTGTCACTGGAAGCAGAAGCCGAAGATCCCGCTTCAAGGGCCTGGCGGAAGTCCATCCGAGCCCCAGCAGGGCTCTTGCACGGTGCTCTAAGAGCAACACCGGATTACGGAGGACTCGGGCCTGTTAGACGCAAAGCTACAAGCCTCTAGAGAGGCCCTTGAAAAATTTCCGGCAATCTCAGCCTTGAACACACCGCCGGATGACATGATTCAAAATCGCACAAGATCAACCGAAGCATCATGCTGGAAATCGTGATGCGAAAAACAGCATCGAACCACATGAAAATCGGAATCTGTTGTAAAATCGCAACAAGCTAAAACTGTGGTTTAAACAATGTTGTTTGAAAACTGCAAGTGCGCTTCGCCTTTGGCTTCGCTTGACCAGGATAAACATAACTGCGCTCCGCTCCGTGGGTCTTGATGAGCACTTGTTGCTCCCATTTAAGGTCTCTTCGCTGGTTTGCTGCTGCTTGCACCAGCTTATCGACCGCCTGGTTTGCTTCCCAGCGCCACCAGTTTTCTTGCCCAAATTTGGCCTGAAAGGCAGCCTGGGTGAGGTGGGAATTTACCCAGGTGAGGCTCAAGCGGTCCTTTTGATGGCGCAGCTCCTGGAAAATGTCCTCAGATTTCCAGCCCGGTGCCCTGCGTAGGCACTTTGGCACCCCTTGGCAGTCCAAAGTGATGTCGATCAGCCCTTTTGTCTTCTGGGCGAGAAACAGAAGGGCAGAAGATTCTGCCCTAAAGATTGTTTGCTGACCCTCTACCGGGCCTGTCGCTTTACCTACGACCTCTATCCCATGGGCATGCTTCTTAAAAGCAATGGCCCCCCAGGTTAGCACCTGAAAGCGCGTATCCTGGGATGCACCAGGGCTGCCGTCAGTGGCGTAAAGGATAGACGGGTCTTCAACTTGCATCTGGGTGAAGACGCCTTCCACCCTGACCTGTTGCTCATATGTGGCTGGTCTGGGTTGCGGTGGTCCCAGGCCTCGCAACCAGAGGCTGGGGTCAGGGTATTGTTCCCGGAGCCGCGGGAAGTCTTCTGGTTCTGGGGCCTGGTTTTCCCACCAGGTACACTCCCACAAGACGTGGCTCAAGGTAGCCTCCTTGTTGCAGCGGGCGCACACTGCCCCTTTGCCGTGCCTTATGGCTCCTTGCCACACAGCCACTAGGGCATTGCGATGGAGCTTGCTGGGGCTCTTTTTGAGCACTTTGCGCGGGGCGTGCCACTCGATGCCATCTTTAAGGCTTTCACTTTTTTCCCCTTGAGACAAGGCCTGCCAGCGCCAGTGGTCACAGGTGCGCTTCAGCTCCGCGCTGAGACGGTGTACGCTAGCCCTATCTAGGATATGAAAGGTTTCTTGGCCAGCCTTCCATTCCGTGAGGGAGTAGGCCTCCCATCCAAGGGCTTTAAGGTAGCACGCCGCAGCCCCAAAAGGGCCAGCCACCACGCGCCACGGCTCCTTGTGGTGCTTGATTTTCCGAATCCAGTACTGGAAGGCTTGCTCCAGTTCTTGGAACGGCGTTTGGTTCCATTCCACCAGCAGCTTGTGCAGGAAGCGAAAATGCTGGTTAATGATCGTGTAGGTGGGGTCTTCGTGCTTGTTGGTGGCCTGTTCAATCACCGCCTCTGTGGATCCCAGGCTCATCCTGCCTAGCACGCTGGCGTGCTGATGGCGGACCCATTTGAGGCGTTTTGGTGCAAGGCCAAGTGCAACGTGCCCATAAAGGGCAACCCCAAAAACTCCCTGCTTGTTTGCAGTCGTGTGCGCCTTCTGTGGCGGCGCAAGCTGCCCCAAGCGGCGCTGCCTCTTAATGCCTTTTGTGAACCTGGCCTTGTGGGTGGTGACGCGTCTGCGCCTGCCTCCTGCACTGTCAATGCCTAGGTCCTTGGCTAAGGGCTTGACCTGCGGGTCATCTGCCTTCAGGAGCTTTTTTAGAGCCTTTTCTGCCCTTGGGTTAGAGCACACCCAGGCACTTTTTGCTGCACTGAGCGGGAGTTTCGCTCTGTCCAATTGCTTCTTTACCCTGGTCCACACCAGGTATGCTTGTTTGGCACACACCTTGGCGTCCTGATTGGCGATGTCAAAGCCAGTGTCGTCGATGTACAAGTCGACGTGGCATTTCGGTGGCCCGTTCCAAATGGGTTCCACCACTTCATGCATTATCAACTTTGACAGCCCAGGCGCCAATGGACAACCAGCAATGATTCCTTTCGTGGCCACAATTGGCGCACTGATCATATTTTCGGCGCACAGGTGCCTTTTACTGCGATATACCTGCATTGCACCGTGCAGGAGAAGCAATGGGTATTTGTGTTTGAAAGCTGCCTTGACCAGTGCTACGTGTGACACATTTTCGTAGAAGCCACGAAGGTCAAGAAGGAGCGTAATGCCAGTTTTCCCACTCTGGCGGTACATTTCCCCTTTGAGGACCCTCGTCACTGCGACCTCAAGGGAAGAGAGGCCTTTGACTGCTCTGTCCCATGGTGCTGTGGCCTTGTACTGCTTCGACCATTCATCATAAAGATGATACCTGGTTTTACACCAGGCACGGTAAGCATACGACGTGAGCTCTATCGGGCGTTCTTCCGTCTCTTTCTTGGCCAGCAGGGCGACGAGTGTCATAGTCACTGTTTCAGGCATGCAGCCACTCTGTTCCCAGTCTCTGAATGCCCTTGTCACCAGGGCCACCTGGTCAGGGGTTAGGGCTCTGAACATCTGGGCCGATATGCCGTCTGGCCCGACAGCCTTCTTGGCTATCCTGCTCAGTACTGCAGCGACCTCCTCCTGTTTTAGAGGTCCTATTTGCTCCAGTTGACGGAGCGCACCAGCCTTGAGCTGGTCAAAGACTGGATCTTGTTGGGGCTGGTTTCCTGGCCTGGGTTGCCACACCAGCTTCCAGTCTTTACGGCGAAGGTGCGGCCGCAGTTCCCCACTCTGTTCCCGGTAGGGCCTCGCCTGGACGTTTTCCGGCGATTTCAGTGCCTTGTAAAGGCCCCGAAGGCCCCCTTCACAAGCACTTTCCAACCAGGTCTGGTACTGTTGTTTCCGTTGCTGTCTCCAGTCTTGGGCTTCGGCCTTAGCTTTCTGAAGCACCGTTTGGACAACTTGGACGTCAGTGTCATGTCCAATCATGTAGGCTTCTAGCGTGGCCTGGATTGCACCAGGTTTGTCTGGGCTGTCAGGGTCCCAAAACTGGTGCATTTGGCCCAACTGGCGCTTGAAAACTTTAAACTGCGACGGCTTGAGGGGTCTTTCTTGTTTTTGGCGCACCCAGAGCAACATGCGCTCCCAATACGCCACTTTACCCCCATTCCAGGGCTTCTGGGGTGGAGTGGGATGGACCAGAGGCTCCCGTTTAACTGGGAAACACCAGCTTCTGCCGTGCTGGTCCATGCCAGTCTGGGCTTCCAGCTGGTGGACCAGTGCCCCCCATTTCACCTGCTCAGGCTGGCCATTGGGTGGCTCAAACATCGCAGTGATTTCCAGGACCTCTTGAAAGTCTGGGTGCTCCTGGTTTTCACCAGGTTCAGGTGTGAACCTGGTTGCCTGTGGAACAGGCAAACTCACGCCTCCTTTGTGGATTGTGTAGGTCATCGCAGCGTGCGGCTTGAAAGGCACTTCCCAGTTCACTTCAGCTAGGATGCAGCTGGCAATCTCTGCAGAGGCTATGGCATAATCAATTTGAGACCCTTGTGCGGTGGTCTCTTCCGCTGGTTGCACCAGCTTTCCTTTAAGCATTCTCAGCACACCTGCCGAGACAAGTTCTTCTGGCGTGACATTCCAGTCTCCAGTTAGGATCCAAGGAATGCGGAGTTCTTGCACGGTAACAGCCAGCTCGGCCAGGATTTGTGGGTTGACTCCACCACCCGGTCCTTTGCCGGACTCAAGGTAGACGTTACCAACTGCAAGCTCCCATCCCTGAAACCTAATACCAATGAGAACGCAACCTTTGCCTTGTTCTCCAATGGTGTGCAGGTGCCTCGTTTGCCGATGCCTTTGCGCAGGGGTTACAAGGCCTCCTGTGGTGCCTCCTTGGGTAGCGGGTACGGCCAAGAGTTCAAGAAGAAGTGCAATTTGGATTGGGAAGAGAGTTTGCATTGTGCATTGGAAGTGAAGTTTAAGTTGAAATGGTCGAATGTATGATATCAACTGGTTCGACTTGCCACTCCACATGCTGCGCCCGCCCCAAGTTTCCCACATCGTCTGAGCTGGCAGCTTCGCTGCACTTGACTTTTGCAAGCTCGCTTGTGCAGGTGTGTGAGACTTGCTGACAACTGTCCTGCCTTGCTTTTGAAGTTTTGGTTTGCCTGGTTTTTAAGAAGTTTTTGCGCAAGTAAAACCCTGTTGCAACAACAGTTAACCTTCAGGAAGCTGTTTCGCCAGGCCGTAGCTGATTCCGTTAACATACTGTCATTAGGATTGCAAGCGTGCGAACCGGATTTGCGGTCTTGTGGCACAAAAGTCGTCTTGTTTAAGCAGGCAGTGTGTAAGCCCGGCAGACTCGCTGTGTGTGGGTAGTTGAGAAGCACAAGAAGCGACCTGCTGTTACCTCACATCTCTCTCATGGAGTAGCTGTCAAGCAAAAAACGGAGGCTCGCTCTTGCAACTTGCTGTCCTTGAGGAGGAGGGTAGTTCGCAGTCATTGGGCAATTCAAAGTGTCTTGAGTGGTTTCCAAGCCCTTTGGCACGAAGTAACCTTGTGCCATCTGACGGTCTGGAGGAGCAACGCTATTGCAACAAACTTGTGTGATTGTGGTGCTGCTTGAAGCTGCCGTGCCGCTGAACAGTGCACAACAGCTACATGCCGGGCTCCCAGGTTTGCAGCTCAGGCTCCAACACACCCGCCGTGAGCATAGGTTTTTGGAGTGTTCCGGAACCCAGGGTTCGAACTCCCGGGGGGCCCGGGGGGGGGGGGGAGAACATATAACTCCGGAACTCAGGGTTGAACCCTGGGTTCGAACTTCTCGAACCCAGGTTGAACCTGGAGTTTGAACTCTAAGTTCAAACCCTGGGTTCGGGAACTCTATGTTCGAACCCGGGGTTCGGGAACTCTA